AATCTTGGATCCACTTTAATCACACTTGTGATTAAAATAAGAGTAGGTATGTGTACGGCAGTTTTTGCTAAATTCGATAAATACCTCATTCGCTCAGAAGCGCCCTTAAATCTTAGACTTCGTGTGGTTAAGTGGTATGTGTGGATAATGTTATTGTATGGCGCAGAGATGTGGCCAATAAAAGTAAAATCAATAAATAGAATTGAAATATACGAAATGTGTATTTTGGATACACTATTTAAAATTTTGTGGATGGACCGAGTTACCAATGAGAAGGTGTTGCGACGAGCTGGAGTAGGTTGAGAACTGTTGAGTGGTGTGAAACAGGTCAAGGTTTCTTATTTGGTATACGTTGTACGTGGATCAGGGTACAATCAATCAATCAATCTGAACCTTTGGACCTTTTAAGCTTGCTCTTCTTCAAGGAGGGGTTGCTTCCTTTTGGGTGGTATGCTGCGCGGAGGCTTAGAGAGTAGTAGTGTAGAAAAGGAGCACAATGTGGGAAAATGTAGATCTAGCCAACCAAGCCATGAGCAGAAGGTACCTGCGGTGTTACCAACCATACTAGGAACTGCTCTGAATCAGCGTTTTTTGCGTGCAGCTTTTATTAGGGAGGTTGTTTCAAAGATGTCGTAATACTCATCAACAAGTTAGTTACCAGCGAAGTGTAGAATCTTGGCCGGAGGGAATGGAATTTTGATTTGGGAGAGCCTAGTGAATATATGAACTAGACTATGTCAAGGAGTCACCAGAGTTGGCTTAGCTCTGTTGTTGGAGCTTTTGCAGAGGGAGCGGATGCACTTTCTGAGGATTTTCGTTTTTGTTGCCACAATGGCGTTGTTGGTTTGGCAATTGTATGGTATATATATATATATATATATATATATATATATATATATATATATATATATATATATATAAATGCATCAAGGTACTCCCTCTTAAAAGTTTAAAAGTTACGTACAGATTGAGGGTAGAAGAGGACCGGAAAGAAAATTACATTCCCGGCTTAGAAACAAACGCAATTGGTATAATGTCGAAGATATTGGGTCCATTTTCCGGCTAGGTCAGTAGGGAAATCTTAGACTGGTAAATTGAGACAGTGTTGAAACGCCTACACGATGCTAAGCGTATGGCACAATAAACACGCTGATAAGCGTATGGCACAATAAGAAGAACTTTTGTAGTGGGCTCATTGTTGACAATTTGTTGTATTGCTGTATCATGAGCGTATCTCATGTTTTTAATCATTTCTCCACTAATTCGAACTCCACATACTCCTCCTAAGACTTCGTTAAATACAAAAATAACACATAAAACTAACAGTGTTGCCGTTATATTGTATATTAGTTCTTCGAAATAGACTCTAAAATACCAGGCAAAACAATTTAGGTGCTAAACCTTGACAAAATAGCAGAATAAATATAAAGGACTAAAGTGAAATATCCAGCAAAGGTATGATAGAAAAGACGTAAAATATAATATAAGATTATATGACATCAAACTTAAAAAAAAACGAATCGCAATAACTCAATAATTCGCAACCTTTCTTTCTCATATATTATAATATATGTAGTATAAATATTGGATTAAGTAAACAGAACAGAATATACGTCTACCAAAAAAATATTAAAAATGATGTAACAGATGAAACTTTAGTGCTGCCACGTTATATTGTAATGGTTTTTCCCCGGTGGAGATAAACATTGCCTGTTTGTGGGGAACAGAGCTTACGTCTACAAAAAAGTGTTACAAATTAGGTAACAAATTACAGGTTGTAACAAATTCATAAGGAAAAGAGTTTAAATTGCACACCTTAGAAATATACACTCCGCGTCATAGAAAACGGGCCACCCCAAATATTTAAAATATTTTCGAAATTATTATTTATTGCTACAAAATTAAGCATTTATTTTGTTGTATATTGAATTAACATTATTTAATTTTTAATGCGTCTTGGGTTATTTAAGTTAAATGGGTTGTTGCGAAAGCAAACCGACCCTGTAACTGGATTGAGGATATTCGTATAACCTATAAAACAAAACAATTTTGAGAAAAAGTTGTTCACAACTTGATCAATTTTCGAGGAAGCGATTGTTTTGAGAAATGTTTGATATTGTAAAGGATTCGAATGAGTTTTAAACGCATCTCAGTATTACAGTAGCCGACTTAGTGTGAGGTAATCTTCAATTAATAACGATGGAGAATTTTCAAAAATCGGTTGAAATTGTAAGTTACTGGGAAGTGGATTAAGTCAAAGACAAGTTGCAAGACAATTGAATGTTAGTCGTTCAACTGTACAAACGATCCAGCAACGATTTATCGTCACACCAACGACGACCTGGTACGGGTCAAAAAAGGAAAACAACCGCTAGGGAAGATCGCGTCGTCCTTCTTGCTGCATTACAGAATCGAACCCAAACCACTAGAATGCTTCAAGGCCATTTACAGCAAGCTCAAGGACCAGCAATCAGCCTTTCTACTATTCGGCAAAGATTAAGGGAGCAAGTTTTGACAGCTTGCAGTCCAGCAACGGGACCCTTACTTTCCCCAGCTCACAAAAGTCGAAGACTAGATTTTGCCCGTGAGCACATCAATTGGACAGCAGACGGTTGAAAAAAAGTATCGTTTACGGATGAGTGTAGAATGTCTATTTATGGTAAAGACAGACGTAGTAAGGTGTACAGACGAGCTGGAGAACGTTTCGCTGGTTGCACTCGGGCACCACGGGTTGCTTTTGGTGGTGGTTCAGTAATGTTTTGGACAGGGATTCCTTTTGATGCGCATACGGATCCTGTCGTGATTGACAGAGGTGCGTTAACAGCAGTAAGGTACATAACGGAAATCTTGCAACACCATGTGATACCCTATGCTGGATTTATTGGCAACGAATTCCTGCTAATGCAGGATAATGCGAGACCACACACGGCAAGGATAGTAACGGAGTACTTTGACGAGGTTGGTATTCAAAAAATAGACTAGCCTGCTCAAAGCCCCGATTTAAATCCTATTGAGCATATATGATTTCCAATCTCCGATAGGAGTGGCACAAAAAGAAGAAGAGTATATATGGAGCCTGCTAAAAAGTCGCGTTAGGCGTCGCATACCTGCTCCAACAACACCTGGAAAGTTCCAGATGGCACTCATTGAGGAATGGGCCACTTTCCCCCAAAGAGGTATCCAAAACGTTATAAATTCCATGCCAAATCGAATGAGAAGTGTCATCCAGAATCGAGGTGGCAATACTCATTACTGAAAATGGATACCAGCTTTATTTTTAATATACAGTTCATTCTTGTGTTAAAAACTGTAAGTTGATTTTTTCAACAAATTTCCTATTTTTCTTAATTTTTTTTATTTTCGATTGATCTTTTACGACAATGATGAAATTTTAAACGAAACGAGTTATTGATTCAATATACGAAAAAATATATGCTTAATTTTGTAGCAATAAATAATAATTTCGAAAATATTTTAAATATTTGGGGTGGCCCGTTTTCTATGACGCGGAGTGTAGTTCCAACCTAATAGTGATAGCAGTTACATAGGGTCACAAGGCTATGTAGCAGGTCGTTGCAGCATTATTTATCGAGGCCTTTTGGACTTAACTTTATACTTTGTAGTGTATTGAATAAACGCCTTGTTACTATGTTAAGTTGAGTTGATTGCCTTTACAAAGATTCGCGTCGAATCTTTGTAACGATCGACTGGACATGAAAATTTATTTGTATTTATTAAAAAAATTCCTGTGCTCAGCTGAATTAGAACCCTCGACCAACCGAGCGAAAGCTCGATAGGAAGCCGCTCTGTCAACGGCTCTTCCGAGCTTGTTAGTTGCGAGCAAGTTAACTATGATAACTAAGATACATATTCTTATTCAGTAAAAATTAAAAACATTCTATTAATACTTACAGATTTAAAAAAAAAATGATATGTAATGCATTGATATGGTGAGTGATTGAGCCACGTATTGGTCATTATGGAATTATGTTGCTACTGTTGATATATAAATTGGTAAGGAATGTATTACGAAGTTTTTTTATTAACCAAGAGACAAAAAAAATAACACAATAACAATAATATATAATAATATCAGAAAATTGATGTGTGAAAATAATATAACTCCTGAGATGTCTGAATAATCATAACTGTTAGTTAGATTTACCAAACATACTTAGAAAATTTAAACAATTGATCTGACGTTCATTGCACTGATACTAACTTTTTAATTTTGTTTTCTTTCTAAACAAAATTGGGCCATTCTCCTCCCATTAACAGCATACTCAATTTTGAACATTAGGATTAATTATTTATTAGAAAAGTCTCCTAATTTCGGATAGTAGTTTAGTAGATCTACAAACGTATGTGTAATTTGAAACAGATCTATAAATTAGGAACAGATATTTATTTATATCCATGTCATCTACTAGGTCAAATTTCAGATAAATTATACTTAAGACATACAATTTTTGCCAACGACTTCATTAAAAAAAAGGAGAGCGATCTAAAATTATCTTTAATAGGTGAATAAGGTATAATAGGAATAGGTAGTGTAGCCTAATACTAATGCAATTACTGGTAGTTTGCAAACCAAAAAATCGATAACAACGGATAACTACACAGCTGGATAGACGTATATATTCGAGGTCTAATATTTGATGCCAAAGAGAAGAATACCCCTTAAATTGGTAGTTTGGAATACCGAAACCAATTCAGATTTATGCTTTGTTACTGAGGACGCCTATAATAGTCACATTCCAATTTCAAGACATACCACATAATGAGTACCTAGTGGATAAAGTATTTTCGGTAGTGTCATGAACAATGTGTCAATTGTGAGAAGTTTTAATTATTTATAAGAAATTTTGCATAAAAGATATTATATACGAAATTAGGAGAACTAAAAGTTGACATAAAAAGTTATAACTAACTTTTTTTATGTAGAAAAAGTAATTCTTAATAAAAACAAGTTCTTAAAAGTAAAACTTCCTATTTCGTAGCGATGCAGTTCTCACATGTTACAGGATCAGAAGTAACTTTAAGCGAAAATGTAAGCAATAAAGTTCGTTGAAGAAGTGATAAAGTATATAGAAAATGTTGGCAAAAAGTGGCAGTGGATCAAAAATGGTCTTATGCATTAATAAATGTGTGTATGAGAAAGTTTGTCATTAAATCTCGCCGTAGAGAACAAACTTAAGACAAATATTCTGACCATTTAGTTACTAAGACTTCACAAAATATTTATAAAGTGAAAATGTCATTTGTATCATCCCAACATTAATAAATTAAATACCAGGTTACTGGTACTGATGCTATAAAATGTACAAAAATCTAATACGAATATTAAAAATCATGAGGCTTTCATTTTCTTTTTCATTAACATTTTTCTTCGCTTTGCTTCTTCTTCTTTCTTTTCTTCCTCGAGATCCTCCATAATACCTAAATAAAAATTTTAATATTAAAAGTATGTACATGTATACTATAGAAACGAAGTATGCGCCACCAACCCAACAATGTTTTGGATAACTTATCTAAAGAATTTGTATGGCGGGGAGTCTAATTTGTAAAATTATTTTAAATAGGATCATATGACAAGTTATACGTTATTTGAAAATGACTGTCGCGCTATTTCAAAAGTGCAACTTATTGTTCAATCAATGTACAATGTACAATCAATGAGCAGTATAGACTGCTCCTAATATTTTGGTATCCTTCAACTACAATGGGAAACATCCGAACAAGTTAATGTATTTTTCTAGTTTCCCACATTATGGGAGAATTCATTTGTTTGACATATGACATCGATATTTTTCTTAAATGACAATATATAGAATATGATTTGATGAGGATTTGGACGCTCTTCGATCTTTTAATATTTCCTATAAACAAGAAAGAGTTTTTTTGCATTTGTATTAAGTTTAGTTTTGTGGGTATATCGCCGCTTGTTGAGAATATTCTGGATTGATCATCGCACTAACGTATCGATATTAGAACAACTTAAAGTAAAGGACAGATTGCTTAAACAAATACAACAGAGATATTTGCAGTATTTTGGACACATTGTTAGAAGAACAGGCACGATGGAAAAACTGATAGTCGAGGGTAGAGTTAAAGGAAAGAGACCTAGGGGAAAATCTCCAACCCGTTGGATAGATCAAACCAAAATATTGATTAACTAAGGGTTACATGAAGCCGAACAACTAGCCCAGGACAGAGAAGGATGGAGGGAGATCGTGAAAAAACTGTGAAGGCCTGATGGTGTCACCACATCCCAAAAGGGATTAGGACTGAGGAGGAGGAGGATTAAGTTTAGGGTAAGTTCCATACGAATATTTAAATTGAAGCCGAATGCGTTCGGTTCCCACTGACGAAGCCTCTTATGAAACCGTACCATAACATAACAGAATTATTGAAACCTTACCTATTTTGGTACTGATAACTTCTTCTTTCATCTGTTGTGCAAATGAAGTTTCCATATCGTCGACATCATCATCAACGTCTCTATATCTTTTTCTATCGTAGCCGAAGATTTCAGAGATGTACGAAGATATATCGTCTCCTGCATCGTCGTCGTCGATGAAATCGTCCATTTCTGAATCATATTCGTCTTCGTCGTCGTCGTCCAATATTCTTCCTAAAAAAAGAAAATATTTTTTTTTTATCTGCAGTTTTTGCATTCTAATATGTCTTAGTTTTTTTCAAATGAGTGTACCTCATAAAGGAACAATATTTTCTTTAAATAAATTGGGTTATTTCGTAATATTTTGACATCAGAACTGTGCAGGTAAAATATTTACAGATTAATAAAACACCCAGTATGACGACTACATTAGACAGATTTGAAACATTTAAATATTGCAATTAACCTCATTTCTTTGGAAGTAAAATTTAGACACTTACCTTTGTTGACAACCATTTTGGAACTACCACTTCTCCTGACGTCAGGCGGTGGAAATTGTTTTGGAGGTAGTTTCGGAGGTAATTTTCGTCTAACATCCTCTGGTGGAAATTTCTTCGATTTGGGCTCTACCGATAGTTTCTTTTGAGGCATACTTCCTTTAGCAGACAAAAGCTCTCTCGAAGGTTTTGGATCACTAGGTGGCGTCTTTTTAATTTGTGTATTGGAATTAATACTAGGAGGTGGCTTTTTGTGTATATTATTATTAGAAGGAATTTTGAACGAAACTTTCTTCTCTGGTTCTGGCTCCTTTTTACGTGTTGGTGTTTTTGTATCCTGATCAGGCTTGTACCGCATATCCCCTAAACGTAATAGATTTATTAAAAATATATACTTCATATGAAATACACGCATTATTCAAATAATTTGTGGTATATGTATATCAGAAACTTTATAACTTATTAGAAACAAAATAATAAAATCATAATACAATATTGTCCCTAATACAAGGCAGCGTAAATATTTTAAATGACTATTTATAGACTATCGATTATCGGAAAACCACACAACCTATTAGCCTACTAGAATCTAAAAATATTGAAATTTACGAACTATTGTTTAAACATAATATAATAAACCTTAGACTAAGATTGTAGAACTAATTAAAGGTAATTCTAGGTTAAGGAAATTTATTGTAAACTCTAACATGACACCTTTGTTTTTATCACATATGTTCACAATATTTTCGTTGTCCTCTTGTGTGTATCAATCACTTATACCGACGCGTTTAGGCATATTATACAAAGGCACATTTAAATCAGCCGCATGGAACAGAGAGTACAAGCCCGACTTATGTTTCATATTAAGCGACTATAAAGCCTCTCTGGCAGCCACAAAAAGTGTCCTTCCAGATTTTCCACACAGCCAGCATCGCCCAGTCATTGTAGAGCTGGGCATACAAATTGCCCTAATAAAGTCATTTCCAAGACCAAAATGGAACTTTTCACGAGCAGACTGGGGGAAATTCGCTTCTGACCTTGATAAGTGCCTGGGCTGGATACCTCCTATCAGTAAGAGCTATGGTCGTTTTGTCTTGGCTGTGATAAGCACAGCCATGAAGAGCATACCTAGAGGATATCGAAAAGAATATATCCCGCGATGGTATCAAAATAGTGATATATTATACCAAAACTTTCTTTAAACTGGAGACCAAGAGATCGCAGATGAACTTATTCATAGTCCGAATGCAACACGACAGCAAAAAGACAGTAGAAAACCTAATATTTCAAAAATTAGGTCGGAAAGCCTGGGCCTTAATAAGGAAACTTGGAGATGGTAAAAGCTTTCAAAAACGGAAAGCAGGTAGAATCTCAAACTTAGTGGCATCTCATATTGTTTCGACATCAAGAGCTACCAGAGATAAAGCTCACAAACAAGACATAAAGAAACATTTAAAAACCTTGAAATCGCAATCAATCAAGACCGAACACTCTCGCCCTTTCACAATTGAAGAAATGGATATCGCCCTTAAAGACGTTTCCCCATGTAAAGCTCCAGGTTTCGACGGCATCCAACCAGAATTCATACTCAATTGCGGGAAATACACAAAAACCTGGCTATCACATTTCTTTACAATCATAATTCAGACCGGCAGAGTCCCACGGGAATTCCAACACCAAAAGTCATAGCAACACTAAAACCGGATAAACCAGCTGATCACCCAAAAAGCTATCGACCAATTGCTCTACTATCTGTAATGCATAAACTACTCGAAAGACTAATTTTTAACAGAATAAGCCCAACAATCCTCAAAGCTATTATACCAATTGAGCAAGCAGGTTTTAGACCAAATCGAGGTTGCACAGACCAGGTGTTATCTCTCTGTACTTACATAGAACGGCTTTCAAAGAAAACTAAAGAGTTCTGGTGCGTTCATAGATCTGTCAGCAGCTTTCGACACCATTTGGCTAGAAGGAAGGATTTATTAACTCTTATGCACTATTCTTTGCAAATTCACCGCTAGATTAATAGAAAATATGCTCACCAACAGAGTATTCCAAGTAACTATAGGATCCGAAGTAAGCACCCACAGAAAACTCAAAAATGGTCTGCCACAAGGCTCGGTACTCGCACCACTGCTTTTTAGCTTTTATATCGCAGACATGCCGACAACAACATCAACAAAGTTTGGCTATGCTGATGACTGGTCTTTATTAAGCCAAACAAAATCACTAGAAAAAGCTGAAGAGATTCTTACGAAAGACATAGAGGTTATGGGAAATTACTCTCAAAAATTGACCCCAATTCACTCCAATTCCTCCAAAACCGAAGTAACCTGCTTCCACTTAAACAAAAATCTGGCGTCAAGAACACTTAACGTTATCTTTAATAACACACGACTCAATTACAATAAACATCCAAAACATCTAGGCGTGGCCTTGAACAGAACGTTAAGCTTTAGAGAACATTTAAGTACAGTTGCCGAGAAGCTAAAAACCAGAAATAACATCATCTAAATAACACCATGAGAATGATCACTGGAGTAATCAAATCTAAGCCAACACATTGGCATCCAGTGGTGAGCGACTCTCCACCACCACATCTTTGTCGACTCAATCTGCTGACCAAAGAATATAACAAGATCCTGAGCAACACGGCGCTGCCGATTCATAACTATATAGTTGCAACCAAGATGCAACCAAAAGTCGACTGCGCTCCAGAAAATCTCCATTACAAACTGCAGAATCAGCCGCAGCCACCGAATTCAACACGATCACCAAATGGATCCATGAATGGTAGGCAGCTCAAACAAATGCAGCGATACCTTCTATCACACAGACAGCTCCTGGATTTGACCTACCACGTAAGACCTGGTGTTGCAAAAATGGGACAAACTACCACCACCGCCATGCAGCTGCGGCGAGGTCCAATATATCAAGCACATATCGAAGGAGTGCGACCAGCGAGCCTTCGGAGGCAGTTCACAAGACTTCCTGTTTGCGACGATCGAGTCGATTAACTATATAAACAACCTCGACGTTTACCTATAAACTGGGCATGATTTAAGTATTTTTATATCGAGTCAATTTTAACGTTTATTGTAATGTTTTAATATTGTAGATGTGTCGAAATCCCATACGCTAAATAAAAAAAAAACTGACGTAGAAGCGTATTTAGTATCCACGCCGATCCCAACGAATGTCAAAATAATGAAAAAATAAAAAAATAATAAGAATTAACAATTAAATTATTTAAAAAATTCAAAAATAAACTAATTAAAGAAATTAAAGAAAAAATAAAAATTAAGAATATATAAAATTTAAGAATAAGAACATAAAAATATATATAACATATTTAGGATTAAAATAAAAAATGTAATATGACGTCGCATTATCACATAAGATCAACAATAAGTTGTTTGGCAAATGGCTTCAGTTCCCGCAGTGATCACAAAGGAGGGAAAATTTTTGAACAAACAAAACCAAATTAGTCGTACGTGTTCAAGGATTTGTCATCAGCTATCCCTCGTATTCATTCAAACTATCCCACCTATCCTATTATGTCAAAGCTATCCCACTTTTTAAAACCTTCAAAAATCTGTATAAGATTTTTACGTGAAATCGATCATTTTTTCACAGATTAATTGGGGTAATGCTGATTAATCAACCTTCAGTACTTTGGTAACCTTGTATTTATCTGTACACACTTATGTTTTCTGGATTTACTTTTAATGCTAAATATTTTTAATATGTGAAAGGTGAAATTATCATTATCGTAAAAATATCTTATATATTTTGACTTACCTGGTAAATATTTTCTCCCAGGTCTGCTTTCCTCCTGGAACGGATCTTCGTCGTCTTTAGGTCTGCTTTTAAAAGCACTCAACAAACTTTTTGGTTTTGGTTTGTCTGGTTTCTCTCTACCACTTGGTTTACCCTCAGTTTTATCAGAATCTCTATTTTTACTACTAGAAGGTTTACTACTTTCACTCGATTCATCATTCTTCTGTGACTTTTGTTTTTCTGAAACTTTGGCATTCGCATCTGATTTGCCTAATTTTTCTCTTTCTTCCTTTTGTCTTGCTTTCGCTAATTTACTATACATAATTTCTTGACGACGTCTTTCTTCCCTTCTCATCTGAGATTCTCTTTCACGTTCCATTTCTTTCCTTTGTTTTTTAGTTAATAGCCTTTCTTCTTCTTTTTCTTTTTTCTCTATTATTACTGGTTCATGCTGTTTTTGCGCTGCTATTTTAAGTATATCTACACAAAAAAAACAATAAATAAATTTGTACACATCTAAAAAAGTTTATAACTAAAATACGACAGCTGTTCAGGTTAGGAAAAATAAATTTCTCAATAGGCCTTGAATATAAATACATCAAAAATGTCTAAGGAGCAAAGTTTTTTTTTTATATATACATATTTATATATACATCAATTTTGATTGGATTTTAAAAAGTGACATACCCTGATAATACCTGATTGGTTAGCTATTAATTCAGATTAATTTTAGTGTTACAATTGATTTCTTTATGATGAAATAATCGAAGAAAAGTTAAGACATGCACTAATTTAATGGAAATGTTTAACATAAAAATCTAACAAATAATGTGGTTAATAAACTGTGTTTTTAATTAATTTAAAATTAAGTTATCAATTTCGTTTTGAGGCAGTAGAATCCATTCGTATTTAAGAAGATTTTGAAGACCTTGTCTGGCATAAACATTGTGCAGATAAGGAACAACCTGTATCTGAAGCATATCCCATAAATACTCGATGAGATTAAGATCTGGTAATTGTATTGACTACGACATCCTCATTATAAAACCAAGCTCTTAGTGTTGCTGCAGTATGTGGCCTTGCATTATCCAGCATGTACTGGCTCTTCTACACACCGGCAGACGCGGAAGACATCTACTTATGCATCTGGAGATGTGTAGATGGGGTAATTTGATCATCTGTTGTTTATATATTATCATCTCCGCGGATGCGTCTGGAAGATATCCGATTGTTGTCAGTTTTTTTCGCACATATCAAAGGTTTTCGGTGCGGACGTCCGACGTCTTTCCACATATCTGACTTCTTCTTTTCCATTTTTTTAATGATTCTATTCCGATGAACACTCAAGTAACAGTTGAACTTTCTAAATAGGCATATAGCTGCGGCAGCTATGGTCTCAACATCAACATCCATTTTTTTTAATGCTCGCGTAGATGTTGCGTCTCCCGGGAATTAACACAGACTGAACGATTTACAGATGTGTCCAGATGTGTGGTCAGGTTGTGATGATACATCTGCAGATGCGTCAGCAGACGCGTCTGCCGATGTGTAGTGGAGGCATAACAGGTTCTGACTCATGATAACTCACGATGGACAAGTAAAATCACAAATTGGAGGCCAAGAGCAGACAAAAGTAGTAGAGGAAGACCACCTACACGTTGGGCTGACGATATGATGCGTATCACCAAAAATTGGCAACAAAGAGCACAAAATCGCAAAGAATGGAAGCGTTTAAGGGGGGCCTATATCCAGCAGTGGACGTGATAAATGAAGGCTGGACGATAATGATGATGAACAGGTTCTAAGATACGATCAATTTATTGAGATTGATTCAAAGTGCCTTCTTCAAAAACGGGAAGAGTTGGATTATGAAAAATTATTCCAGCACACATAATTTGTAGACCACTTATGGACGAACACCCTATACACGCCTCTGTATCTCTCGGCGACCAGGTCCTCTACACTCTCTATTCTTTAATCAGTTTAGAGACAAAACCTAGCTTTATCTGTGAATAACACAGAACTGCGTTCTTGTAAGCCCAGTTTCTTGTGTCCACATTAATCTGAGTCCACGATTTCCATGACTTAAATTGGAAACCCTCAATGGACGTCTGGCGTGCAGAGTTTCATGTAATCTATTCCTCAAATTTTGATCACATACAGTAATGTTGTGGGTATTTTCTAATGCCCCATCGAATTCACGTGTAGTTATATGCACATTTCGACAAGCTAATCTTACTACATACCGATCCTATAGAGTAGTTTCTAGTTCACAACCACCATGTCTTTCAGCAACATTACCAAAGTGTTCATATCGACTCCACAATCGAGAAATTACGTTCCGAGACACGTCAAAATTTTGTGCAAAATCAGCTTGTGATGTTGCACGAAGACGAGCCTGAATCACATTCACAGCACTTACCATGTGAACATGTGACTATTTTTAAAATTTGAAGCACTACTTCTCTACAATTTGAAGCAATTGTGTGAATTGGAGGCAATGTCACTTTTGCCTTAATAAAACAGTGCAATTAGCAGATTAATTTACTTGGCATACCTTGATTTGTAGAGAACAAGTTTTTAAATCGAATGATATATATTAAGTTTTTATTGAATTTGAATAATAATGGTGTTCCTTAGATATTTTTGATATGTGTAACATACTACCATTGGTGATTGGATGAATTTGATATGATGAGTTAATCTGTGTTTAATTAAAGCCAGCAAAAAGTCAAAATTGATTAAACAGGCCGACAAACCTGGGACTCAGAAAGCAGAGTATACTTTTCGAAGGTTTTTGGTGCGCTGAATACGAATCTGAGGTTATGTTATTGTGGACTGAAAGGGATAGTTTCTAGGGGTTGCTTGGGTTTGGGGTGAGTATGTTTGAGCTTATTGGGTTTGAGGTTATTTGATTTAAGTTGTCAGGTTTGAGGTTGTTGGAATAAAGTTTTATGAGTTTGAGATTTTCGAATTTAGATATTCCGTTATACTATAATCAGTTATGGTTTGTAGATTTTTTAAAACTAAGAAATTTTAAAATGTGCTATCTTAGTGAAAAAAGATAATATCTGAGGAAACTTCACGCCATTTAGAATATTAAGACTTACACTTTAAGATGGTTATAATAGTTTGTGGAGAAAAGTATTACGATGCTACATAACTTCAAAAACCGCTATTTTTCCACTTTTAGTTTAGGATATCTCAGAAATCGGTGCCAATTTGGAATTTTCGAGCTCAGATTCGGATTATAGCGCACAAAAAGTATTCTGAAAAGCATATTATGATCTCTGAGTCCGAACATTTGTCAAATTTTGTCGACCTGTATTAACAAGCATAGCTGTGATCAATATGTATGATTTCCACTTGAACTATTTTGGTAAAAAATATAAAAGTTCTTTTGGTGACTCCAACTGTATTGATGAAAATTGTTACCTTGATTTTAATAAGTAATAAATATGAATTATAGATTTCAGACAAGCAAGAAACAAGCAGAATAAAAAAGGGTTACAAACAATAGCACGTAGTTTAACTATAAATTTACAGAAACTTCTAGATGAATTGTATTCTTATTTTAAGAAACTCCAAAATACAAACACAAATTCATATTGTTCTACAGATTATACGCATTAGATCAATGTTCAGTAGCTTATTTGACCTTACACAATCTAAAATAGGTTAGAGAAACATAAATGAATTGTATTCTTATTTTAAGCGTATCCAAAATAAAAACACAAATTTATATTGTTCTTAGATAATGCTCATTCGATCAATGTTCAATAGCCTATTTGACCATACACAATCTAAAATAGGTTATAAATACCTGCAAAGTTCATTGGAGGAGGAGCTGGTTTGGGTTTTGGCTTAGGTGGTGGCATCTTCTCTTTATCAGATTTTTCTGAAGAACTTTTTGTTTCATCAACAGATCTATCTGGAGCATCATAACTAACTCCTTCTTCATCAGCATCCTCCTTTTTCTCCTTCAAAAGAATAAAAGTTTTAATTAATAAATAAATATTTATTTAAGTACTTAAAATTACTTAAACATACATACATATAGGTAACTTTCCACTAAATGGTCCGTGTCTCAAGCTAAATGTATGTAATAATTGTAATATTTTATTTTTTTATATCAATAACGATATATTATTAGGTGTTCTTGGCACGTCCCAACATATTTAGTAATTTAATGGAATGTTTAAATAAATGAACCTCAAATACTTCAAAACACAGTCCACTGGTACGTCTCTTTTCCAGAATTATTGTTCAACAAATAACTTAATAAATATATTAATAAAGAAGTGAGAAAGGACGTACAACATAACACAAAAAAGATTACAACGGTTGTCGAGGAAAATAAAATTTTAAAGGAGCTGAAGAGATGTCAAGCTCTAGGTAAGAAGAATATTGTTAAGCTTGTAGATCGAAATGGAAAAGTGGCAACAGATAAAGATCAGATAATTAAGGTAGTTAAAGAATTTTACAAAGAATTATATAGAGAAAGGGGTAAGAAAGACGGCACCAAGTTGAGAAAAATCCAGAAAAAGTTCAGAGGATATCCCAGAAATAACAATCGAAAAAGTCTCAAAGTCATTAAATCAAATGAAAAATAATAAAGCAGCTGGTGATGACTAAATCGTTATTGAGGCAGTTAAAGCAGGAGGAAAAACAGTATTGAAATCATTGACACAATTATATAACTTATGCCTTTCAAAAGAGGTTACCCCATCTTAGTGGAATAAAGCTGTTAAAGTAGTCATACACAAAAAGGGAGATATAACAGAGCTAAAAAACTATAGACCTATTATCTTGTTATCTCACGTTTATAAGTTGTTTATGAAGATAATAACTAATAGGTTGACATCAAAACTAGACGTCTATCAACCTTGCGAACAAGCAGAATTTAGAGCTGGATACGGAACAAATGATCATTTGCAAAGCATTAAGTCGTTAATTGAAAAAACCATTGAATATAACAGACCCCTGATACTTGTCTATGTCGACTTTGAAAAAGCATTTGATACAGTCAATTAAAGTGAAATGCTCCAAACTCTAACACAATGTAGAATAGATCACCGATACATATCCCTTATCAGATACATCTATCAGCGTGCTACAGCCTATGTAAGACTTAATGAAGATACTGGGACCTTTCGTATTGAAAGAGGCGTTCGGCAAGGAGACAACATGGTTCCTAAATTATTTATAACTTTGTTAGAATACGCTTGTAAAACAATAGATTGGAACGAAAAGGGCATCAATGTAGATGGAAAATGTTTGAATAACCTTAAATTTGCAGATGATATCGTTCTTTTGCAGATAGCTTTGATCAGGCACAGATAATGCTCCAAAAACTCCATACTGCCACAAAAAGAGTTGGTATTAAAATAAATTTTTCAAAAACATAATTTATAACAAATTTAGTCCACAACAAAAACAAAGATCAGAATAAGTTGAGACAACCAAACAATCGAGCTGAAAAGAAGAATAAACTTCGCTTGGGCTGCATTTGGAAAGATGAAGGATATTTTTAGGTCTAAGATTCCAATGTGTCTGAAAAGAAAAGTATTTAATCAGTGTATTTTGCCAGTGATGACCTATGCCTGCAGAAATACTAACACTCACAAGAACAACAGTGAGTAAACTACAAGTTGCGGAAAGGGCAATGGAGAGAATAATGTTAGGGATTTCTCTACGTGATAGAATACCCAATGCTACTATACGCAAAAGATCAGGAGTAGGAGACGTTATTGAAAGGATAACAACACTAAAGTGGAACTGGGCAGGTCTTGTAGCAAGATCAGTTGATGACCGGTGGACAAAAAGAATTTTGGAATGGAGTCCCCGAATATAAGCTAACAGAAATAAAGGTCGACCCCCAACGAGATCGACAGATGACATAAAAAGAGTGACTACAAATTGGATTTAGATGGCGCAAAATCAGACTAAGTGGAAAAGCATGCGAGAGGCCTATGTTCAGCAGAGGATGTTAGAGGCTAGTCGATGAAAAAAGACGACAGGTCAGATAAAAACAATAAATTTGACAATAATCAAGCCTCTACTCTTGAATTACTTCCACTATTCAATTTTCGATAAGGTATTTCCGGGACCTAATATAACTATGTCGTTTTAAGTATGTTTGTCTCACTTCCTACCGTTGAAAGCCCATACCTATAATACCTTAAATTCTTTCCTATATCGATATCGAATTTATCACCGTTTAAAATAACTGTTTTGCTGTTTTGCCAGGCGTATGATAATAATTATCGTTTTATATGGTGTATTATCGTATGTATACCACAATAGTAAAGTATAGAATCATTTTAGTTGATGCTTTAAATTTTTATCTCTAGTATCTCGTGTAACACATACACACGTTGAAATAAAAATAAATATTTCTGGGGCGCAAATTTCAAAATCTTAACGCGAACTAAGTAAAATACAATTAAAACTAGTGGATGAATTGGAATGGGAACTTTTTACCTATTTTTGGAATGGGTTTTACCAAAATTTGTGGAATTAATACATTTTTCCAAAACGATAAAGTAGTTATCACAAATTTGCACAGCGAAATGATCACAGTGTAAAAAAGATCTATTGCTTACATACATAGTCCCACGATAAGTGAGATAAACTAATGTTGAAACAATTGATCCTCAAGATATTACAGAATTTGTCATCATTAATAACATTAATAACATGTAAAGACCATGTATGAAGACCGGTTTCTCATTTAATTCTGATAACTTTTTTACTAGTGGACCATATAGTATAACTTTTACTGCTCTATTGTGTCAATCAGCGCTGCTCAACAAGTTTAATTAAAAAAAAAATTAATTTCTTGTGATGTGTAATGTAGGTTTACAAAATAATCAAAATTATACCATTGCAAGAACATTATGAGGTTCCATCTTCCATCCACATAAATATCATTCAACATGATTCATGTTATCCAAAAACTGTTATCGACAAAGAAATATGTACGACGTCGGCGATATCTGTGCAGATCGTATTACCATCCAATTCATACATGCCATCATATATTACACTTTTGTTGATGGTTAAAAATTAAATAGTCTGGTATTATTTAATATCTTAATGGGAATTGCATGGTAGATAATTTTACATCTTATTTAAAATGATATGTAAACACAAACATCAGCTGAAATATAAAACTGATTAAATTATGTTATTGTTATGTTATTAAGTTTAATTAGTATTTAATTTTTAGTTTCTTTAGTAATCTTAATTAGTAATTAATATTTATAGTCTATTTTTTATGCTTAGCGGGAGGGTAAGTATAAACTTAAGTTCAATTTTGTGGGGTTGCCATCCTGGTCCCCCGGTAGCCATCTTGGAAAAATAAGAAAACAGGGTTTGCGGGCTGTATCTCGTAAACTAGCAACCCTACAAAAATTAAATATTAATATTTAAAAAACAACATGAGTGCTGCAAAAAAAAGTAAAACGGACCATTTTAGTAATGATTGGAAGGAAGGATAATTGTTTTTGTGATGTTTAAGGATAAGTGCATTTTACTCCTTTATCGAATCTTCAGTGGCAGGTCCCAAAAGTGGGAACTTGAAGAGTATTATAAAACCCTGCATAAAAAATATCAAAAATAATTTTCCGTCGAAGAGTAAGTTAAGAAGACGAAAATTCGAAAAGTAGTTTAAAGGGAGAGCAATCCATCTTATATAGGCCAGTCAAATAATCAGTAGCTGCAATAATCGAGTGTTTTAAAATTGTCTTACATACTGACACAACACAAGAAACCTTTCGAAATCGAACCGCGGTGAAATAAGCATTTATTGAAAAGGCTAATGTATTTTTGATGACTTAAAAATAAAACACAGATTATATCTGCTATTAAAGAGGACCCTTTATATATTTCGGCTAACGAAGAATGATTACCAGCAAGTTCTATGTTAAAAACATACTAATTATGAATGATGTGATATTTGTGACATTGTCAAAAAAGTTAGGAATATTTTAGTTTACTAATATTAGTATTAGATGCTTGATTAGATGCCTTAATTATATTTTTATTTATAAGGATTTATAACCAAAGCATTTTCATAAATCTACGATTTTAGTATCTATGCTCCAGCCTAGTTGCAGTAGTCGGTAGTCGATCGCTTGTCTTCTAAATATTTTGTAGTAGATCGCAGACACTACAGGTTTGAGCACCTCTGCTGTAAAGGATATTGATAAGTCAGCTATAAGAAGAAAAGTTCATCAATATTTCTTCCGTAATAAAGTTCCTACAATTAAGAAAGTCCTAAGAGATGTAAATAATAATAATGACTTACCAAATTTTAAAAGAACCACGTGTTACAAACTCTTACGAAAATTAAATTTTAAATTTCAAAAACGTATAAGAAACAGTTTGTTACTCGAAAAAATGAAATTTTGCTATGGCGAGATTATCTGCAAAAGATAAGACAATATAAGCTGAAAATAGAACAATTTATTACTTGGACGAAACAAGGATAAATGCCTGGCCATACAAAATCAAAAGTTTGTAAGTAAAAAATCCCTTAGGTAATTCAAATTAAAATAAACTTTGAATTTTATGAAATTTTATATTATTTTATTTTATTTTATATATTTTATTTTTTGAAAAGGTAAAAGATTGATAATCTATCACATCGGAAATAAGAATGGTTTTGTTCCTGATGCACTTTGGGCTTTTGAATTCAGCAAAAGTGGAGACGCATGAGGAGTTGGATGGGAAGTCATGTGAAAGTTGTATTCAAAAGATTTTACCAACACCGGAAAAATGGCGTAATTATGATGAACAATGCACCTTACCATTCCAGAAAATTGGAAAAAATTCCCATTATGGCTTCAAAAAAGGCAGATATTCAAAATTGGCTTCGCTCAAAAAACGTTCCCTTTGAAGAAACGCTGTTAAAAGTGCAACTTTTAAAAATCGTTAAACAACATACAGGCGAATATAATAAGTACATAGTAGGTGA